TCCATAAAACTCATCAAGGCATGGCCGGCTGTTGAGTCGACCAGGTTATCAATTTTAGGCAGAGGGTAACTGTCTTTGGGGCACGCCTTGTTCAAGTCTGTGTAGTCTACACACATTCGCCAGGTGCCATTCGGCTTTTTAACAAGCACCACATTTGCAACCCAGTCTGGGAAGTAACATTGCCGAATGAACCCTGCATCAAGTAATTTTTTGACTTCGGCGGCTGCCGCCTGACTTCTTTCTTCGCCATGGTTCCGCTTCTTTTGCCGTACCGGCTTCTTTTTCGGATCCACAGCGAGTTTATGTACTGCCAAATCAGGACTAATGCCTGGCATTTCATGGACTTCAAATGCGAAGATGTCCTTGTATTCTTTCAATAGATTGTGAAAGTCGTCACCAAGGTTTCTCAGAGCAGTCGTCCCAACTTTGACTGTTCGGTCAGGACGTGAGTCGTCTAAGATCAGGTCCGCATGCTCACCAGCCGGCTGAGGGCGGAACTCATCCGGCCGCTCCTCTGCCAATGATTGCTATTTTCTTGCTTTTCTTGCGGACTCTGTCTGGGACGCCTTTCTCTTTTTGTCGCCTGTTTCTTGAACAGGCGCACTCTCCTTGACATTGTCAAGGTCTGTTTTTTCACCACTTGACCCAGTGGCCATAACAGTGGGCTTGACATCCGAGAGATAGCACTCTCGGGCCATCCTCTGATCTCCCCTTAGGGAGCCGACTGTTCCATTATCCCTCTCAAACTTAAGCAGCATAAGAGACGGGATTATAACAGCCTTGGAAATATTCAGGGTTGGTCGACCCAGAATCATGTTGTAGGCCGAGAGTTCCTCTACTACTAGGAACCGGACTACCATGTGTCGTCCTTCCCCTTTTTCGCCCAAGCGAATGGGTAAATCTACTCGTCCTAGTGGGTGGACGACTCCTCCTCCAAACCCTATTAAAGGGTGGGAGGCCGGATGTATGCAGTCCGTCTGATATTTCAGTTTTGACAGACATTTGCTGCTGATGAGATCTGAGGAGCTCCCGGTATCTATGAGGATTCGGCCAACTCTCTGGTTGGCCACTTTACATTCAATAACGAGAGGGTCGTCATGCGGCCCCCTTACCCCTCCTAGATCCTCTTCAGTGATGACAATCTCAGGAAATGTATATTTGGACGGCCGTTCTTGGTGAACGGAATTTACATCTAACCGCCTTATATTATCTTTGTTGCCTCTAATAGTGGGGCCGCCTCCTGAGAAGCCGCCTGCAATGGTGTAGACGACTGCATCATCTGTATCAGAACTGTCGGCCTGTTGATTCTTTTTGGCCGACTGCTTTTTTGAGGAAGTGTTCCCCGTAGATTTCTTGACATAAGTGTCAAGATCTCCTTGCTCAGCCAAGCGGTCTAGGTACCGCATGAGACTGATGCAGTCATTGGTGTGATGACCAACGTCATCATGATAAGCACAGATTTTGTCTTGGTTCCGGTTGTTTGCAGAACCCTTCATGGGGAGCGGCTTCTCAATTGAGAACCGTCCCTTTATTTCTTTCAGGATAAACTGGTTATCCTTGTTAAACACATACTTCGGGGAGTATGGTTTGAATTCTTTTTTCTTTTTCTGGGCCGGCTGTTTAGAGGAATCAGCCGCCCAGACCTCTTTTCTTTTCTCATCTTTACTAGACGACTGTTTCTGTCGTCCCTCTCTTTTGTCGAACCTTTTCCCGTCCGACTGTTTTATCGTACACAGATCAGTCGCCTGTATATAGGCTTCTGCTTCAATCAAGGCCTCTTAAAGAGTCGCCACCCTTTTTCGAACTAAATCAAATTTGAAGGTAGACCCGTCTTTGAGACCTCTAAAAAAGTCAGTATAAGCTACCTCATCCGGTAACCCTTGAATCTGTATTCTCATCAGGTTGAACCGCCTGATGTAAGAACGAAGCCCCTCCTTCTCGCCCTGCTGAATTGTTCCCAAATCAAGGGTCGTTTTCTTCGCAGGGATGTTCATAGCGAAGTTGGAGGCAAATAAGTAAGCAAGCGTCCTGAAGCTGTTTACACAACCAGTCGGCAGGTTGCCGAACCATTGCTGTGCGATTCCCTTGAGAGTCGCTGGGAAACACTTGCACCAAGTGGGATCATCCAACCCTTGAAGGTACATCAGGTTGGTGAATGCCATCAGATGGTCTTCTGGATTAGTAGTGCCGTCATAGGCGCCTACTAGTACATTTTTTACTTTGGCCGGCTGAGCGGCTTCAGTAATTTCCTTGGAGAAGGCCGACGGCTGTTCACCAAGTCTAAGCAGCCGTAGCTGCCAGTCCATAGGTTGGACGTTTTTTGCTGCAGGTCCACCAAATGGAGGTGGCTGCATAAAGTACTGTTGTTGCGGCACAAATGGTAAGTTTGGTACCGCCTGGGCACTATGAAAGCCGGACTGACGGGAAGTGCCGCCTGACTGACTCTCATGGTACGACTGAGTATGCCTCATCGAGGCATTTCGCAAACTGTCTTGAAAATTTGAAGTAGAAGCCGACTCTGACAATCGGTCACTCTTCTTCTGCTCTAGCAGTAGCCGAGCATCTGTGAACGTTTGCTTTAACCCGTCCGCCTGAATATGACGAACCGGTTTCCTATTTCCCGTAGGATAACGGAGTTTTGTGAAATCAAGAGCAGGTGGCTCCCGCTTCTTGGATTTAGGATGAGGAGTCGCCTCTCGCCCTTGAACTGGCTTCCTCTTCAGTGAAGTGAAAGGTTTCTTGGCCGACTGCTCTTTGACTGAAGCAGGCGGTTTTTTGTTGATCAACTCTTGAATCTCTCCCTTGAAGTCCCTCATGAAGGTCATGAGTTCGTTCCTTGTGATGGGAGCAGACCCATCAGTCGGCTGTTGCCGAGCAGGCGGTGCGCCTGCTGGCTCGCTTCCTGTTTGAAGATGCTCCCGTTCCCTCCTTTCGGTATGACGGGTACGTCGGGCCCTTAGGGTCCCGTCTGGAGCTGTATGAGTTTAAACTTCAAATTCACTTTCAGTGTCATGGTCCGACTGAACTTGAGGGTCGTCTAGGGGACGCCTCTCTTCTGGAGTCGGTACAGACTTGGATGCCATCTCTGAAGTACTCTCCCCACAGACGGCGCCAAATGTTTCGGGGTTTTCTGATGTCCTGCGGGAGAGTTACAATTCCGAGACTGGAACCGGACGCCTGTACCTGCAAAATAACGGAGACTCCTGAGAGCTCCGCCTCCAACGGTCAAGTTAGTACCTGATTAAGGAGTAATTAATACGGAAATTAAAGCAATAAGATCTCTCTAGGTGAGAGTGTTTAATGTTGGTAATCTGCGTCGTTAGCGAGATTAGCCGGTTATTAGTGTTCCGTAATGTTTCTGTTCTACTCTGCTTGATTTCTTGATTGCTTAATTAATGAGGATTAATTAAGTATTTATAGCCTTGAGAAGCGTGCCACTCTCTAGGTTTAGGGTAAACCTAGGGCTGACCGGGCCTCTAGACAGGATTGGACCTTGATGGCCGGTTTTCCCATTTGGCATGGGTGGACACGTGGCGTGCCTCGATTGGTCCGTAGAGGACGTATCTGTGACTGACACGTGGCAGGCTCCTATTGGCCTTCGTGAAGGACACGTGGCGGAACCTGGTTGGTCCACTTGTCAGACGGTGATTGGTGGATAAAAATCCCCTAATCACCATATATTTCAAAAAAATCAGAAAAATCAACAAGTTAATTAAAATCAAAATTAAGAAGAAAAAAAGAGACACATACCTTAATTTGACAAAAAAAAAAACGTCGAAATTGGGTTTATAAGGTCAAATTCGACCATGAAAACTCGAGATTTAGAGTTTTCATGGTCGAATTTGACATGAAAACCTTGATTTTCATTGAAAATCTTGAAATTACCTTGAGTTGATTCCAAAGAAAACGAAACGAAAAAGAAAAGAAAGAGGGGAAAAGGAAAGAGAAAGAGGGAAGAGGAGAGGAAGGAGAAGGAGAGGAAGGAGAAAGAGGGGAAGAGGAAAGAGGAGTGATGCGCCGAGGAAGAAGAGAAAGATGAAGGCTGGAAAGGAAGGAGAAAGAGGGGAAGAGGAAAGAGAGAGAAAAGAGGCGGGGAGAGAAGAGGATAGGAGAGTGAATAGGGTTTTTTAAGGGTTTTTTTTAGGTTTTTAAGGGGTTTTTTTTTTTATTATTATTATTTAATTATATTCTGATGGAAAATTCTGTCAGAAACTTAATTTTCCGACGGAATTTCCGACCGATATTAATTCTGTCAGAAATTTAATGTTTCGACGGAATATTCCGTCGGAAATTTTTGACGGATTTTATTTCCGTCACAATATATATTTTCCGACGGAATATTCCGTTGGAAAGCCCATAAACTCCGAAGGATTTTTATTCCGTAGGACATCCATTGGAAATTTCCGACGAAATATTAATCCGCCGGAATATATAGGATTTCCGACGGAATTTTGTGTCCGTCGGAATTTGGCCTTTTTCTTATAGTGAATCTTCCTCAAAGGTGAAGGTGTGGGTGTTTTGAGTGTTTTGGTTGTCGTCAGGGAACATATTGGAGAAGAACGAGTTAAAATTTTTGGGTGATTTTTGGATAAAGAATAAAAATGGGAAAGGATAAGATATTTGTGGTGAAAATCGGGAGAAAATCTACCTTTTATAGAGGTACGTTTATCTGTTACTGTTTTGTACAATTGTAAAAATATCATATAAAAGTTTAATGTACTCGCAAAATTATGGTCCAAATATAAGTATTTATAATTGTAAAAGGTTATCACACAGGGATAGCAAGCCATAGTGGTCCGAGCACTAGTAGAAAAAATGACAAAGGCACGCTACCTTTGGCACCGGTTTTTGAAAACCGGTGGTTAAAAGAACGGGCGGGATTGAAAAACAAGCTTTTGGCACCGGTTTCAGCCAAACCGGTGGCAAATTATCTTTTTGGCAAACCGGTGCCAAATAAAAAAAATATTTTTTTTAAAAAAAAAGGGGAGAAAGGGAATTGGCACCGGTTCGGTTCAAACCGGTGCGAAACCTATTGTAAAAAAAAAAACCCCGAATATACTCTTTCTTTCTCTTGCTTTCATTTCGTCGATCTTTCCTCCTCTCTCATTTGATTTAACTCTCTCTCTCCTCCATTGAAGCGTACTCGAATTTCTCCATTGAAGGGGCTTCTGAGCTTTCGCACTTTCCTCAAACTCCTTCTCTCTCCTTCGATCTCTATAACCGCCACTTTCCCTTTCCTTTCATCTCTATTTCGAACTCCTTCTCCTTCTCTCTTTGAGGTTAGGGTTTCTGGGTGCGTCTATTTTGAATCAATTCGATGTGCGTGCGTCTTCAACAACAACAACTTCGAATCAATTTCGAACCAAAAATCAGAAATTTGAAGTTAGGGTTTCTGGGTTATTTAGCTTTGCGTTATATTGTAGTAGTTCTGAGCTTTCTCCTCCATTGAAACAACTTCTGAGGTAATGTTTTTTAATCAATGAATATCAATTTCGCTAATTATTTGTGTTAGTATAGTTATTCTAGGGTTTTACCATTGCTAAAATTGTGCTATTGGCTTGTTTATTTAGGGTTTGATACGAATTGTTGGATTCTCTCTTCTGCTCGATTATCTGTTGAGTAATCACCCAAATCGAAAGTTTCAGGTATCAATTTTATTATTATATGTTGAGTTTCAGGTGTCAAATTCTTAGTTGTATTCTTTGATTGAACTAGTATTAGTATTATGAATTGATTGATTGATTTAAGGTTTGGAGGAATGTAGTTTTTTGGACGGACGGCTATGATGTTGATGAACAAATAAAGTTATAATTTTTCAAAATAGTTATGTATTTTGGATTGGCTTAAAAGAGATAGTACATTGAAGATTGGCTTAAATGTATATTTTTATGAATATTTGAGTATAGAATTTCACTCCTACAGGCTACAACCTTTCATTTCTCTGCTAACGGTTGTTATTGTGTTTAAAGTCGATATAGAAAACAACATTTCGCTTTGTTCTTGTTCTGGATATTGTTTGCCTCAATTCTCATTGTTTTGTTTGATTGGATGTTAAATTGTTTTAGTTTTAATTTGGATGTTTGATTGTTTGTTTTGGTGAGGATTAGCTGGGTTTGAATTTAGGGTTTTATTAGTGAATTTAGTAATTAGACCCAATATCATTTTTTGATGAATTTGTGGAACTGGAAATTAGGGTTGGATTTGGCTGATTTTTGCTAGAGACCAGTAACTGATTTTGGCTTGTTCAGCCTCTTGCAGTCCTGCTTTTCAAAGTTTAGCTTTTGAGATTTGAGAATAATGATGAAAAAGTAATAAGGATGATGAAAAAGTAAAGTTTGCAAATATGCTTATTTTGGTGGACCTATGGTTACTGTTTATCTTGCAGTTTTCTAAGGATGGTGTGAAGTATATTGAAGAGATAAAAATGAGAGTGAACCTTGTTATCCCAACTCCACCATCTCCAGAGTTGTTACCCCTCAACGGAACAGTGAAACAGGTAACAATTTCTGACATTTGAAGTTTCTGGTTACATTGACTTATTTTTGATATGTTATGCCCCCTGAATAATGATAACAAGTTTCATTTTATTGATCTTCTAAATATCAAGAAGTTTAGCAAGAATTTGGTGGTGTTTATTCCCCTTTTTTTTTTATGCTGCTGGTTGATGATCATGTTGAGTCTAAAACAGTAAACCAGGAGGATTTGAAGCTAGTTACAATCCGTAAGGATGTTCCTCGATCTCAAGATGTAAAATCAGAACCAATTAAGCAGATGACTCTAGTTTGAAGAAAGATGTTGAGACTCCTGGGCGAGAGTTTCTGCTCCGTGATTCTTTTATTAATCTTTTATTAAGTTTTCTTGTTCAAGTATTTATTTCAGGGTTTACTTATGAGTAGAATTGTATTTAACTGAATCCCGTGATTTCAGATTATCAATGATTTGCTTAATCCAACTGGTAGAATCTACGTGTAAGAGAAGATGCCCAAGTTTGTGTTGGTTTCAGTTATTGGCTAGAATATAATCTTTCCATATTATGTCTGTTTTTGGCTCTTAGTGTTATGTCTTTGCTGCTGCTCCATTATTTTACTACATTTATTGGAATCATTAGCTGGTTCGTCGTCCATTTGAGACGATCTCAGTAATCTAAAGTGGCTAATAAAAATCTCTCTAAGTAAGACCAAGATTCTCACTGCTGGTACATTTCTGATCTATAATTTGGTGTATGAAAACCATGAGGTATCTTTTCTAACCTTCTTGAAGATATGAAGTGAGGCTGCTTCAAGTATGTAATGTAAATTTAAATGTTTGTTATATGTAATTGAACGGAAGGGCCTTGATATGGTGCATTGTGATTGGAGCTTGTTATCAAAGGAAGTTGGGGACTACTGTTTGAGTCCGATACTTTCTAAAGGGTATAGTTATGCTTCTATCTTGCGTCAAGAATTCCTTTTATTTTTTCCTCTTCTGATTTTTGATATTATATTATTCTAATAGCAAAAAACAGAGTGATTGCACCTTTATAGAGTTTTAAGGTATCAGCCTAAATTATGCTTTTCCTTCCTTGCAGATCCCGTGAGGATGTTGTGGAGTCGATACATTAGTTATCTTATGAAGGTAATAGAAAGACCTAAATTTTTGTTTGCCAGTGTTTAAATAACGAAAATAGGAATTGATCTTCCAGATTCACTACTGCATTGACATATCATGACATATTATACAAAGTAAGACTGGTTGTAAGCCATTCCACAAAATGTGGTGTGCCTTAATTTTCTCCTTCCCTTCCCCCTCGCATGACTACTGGCTTGAGCAAAATCACTGGTTACATTTTTAAGCCAATAAGTTGCCTTATATAATATTTGGGTTTGCCTGCTTTTATGGGTGCATTTTATTTATTATTCCTTGCTTTTTACACTGCAAAATCCACACTTGGGTGAATCTTGAGCTAGGTAAACCCACAGTACTTTTTTGCTAATTTGGCAGCCATTACTATCTTCAATTAGATTAGGGCGTAGTTTATGGATGTCAAATAAATTATAGCTACTTTAGGTGATCTCATGCATGGATTTAAAGATGAAATTAAGTCTGAGTGCATTTCATATGGTAGGCCTTGCCTTACTGGGTAGATGTACTATTACTGCATATTGTACCCCTTGTTGAAGCACAGAGGAATTTAATTCTTTTGATACTTTATAGTTGTACATTGCTTCTATAGTTATCAGTTGAACGTGAGGTCCTTTATTCTTTTCAATTTTGTTCTGCTTTCTTATCAAATTATCAAATGTTGATTCCATATGACTGACTTTTTTTGGTTTTTCTCTGTTGTTCTTCTTTGATTTTAGTGCGCTCACCTGGAGCTTGATCCATCAAAAGAATTTGTGTGGATCACTAAAGCAAAGCTTGGAGTTGTTGCGCGAGAATTTTGTTCAAGTGTCTTCAGGTGTACAGACTATACTCTACAATTTACTACTGAAATCTTGATTGAATTGTGTGGGTGCATGTTTATAATATGATCGACTTTTAGGGGCTGAATAAGTAACTCTGGGTTATCCTTTTTATCTCATTGCTTAGTCTATGCTTTGTATGCTCTCTTTGTTTTTATCTGTTACAAATGACAACTCACGAATGCTTTCTTAGCTGGGGTAAGCATAAGTTGCTAATTATTAGCTTGTAGGAAATTGATGCTATTAAATTGAGAATTGAAGGTAATGAGAGTTATTTTCTCGGGAAGAACAGCTTAATGAGAGAAAAGGTGAATTTTATCATATTTTTGGTAATATATTCGTGTCCGAACGTTAGTGCCTATTTTTGAGTTTTTTCCCCCGGATTTATGATGTGGGTTTTTGCTTATTTTCTTTAACTTGTTCTTTTTGCTGTTTATTGACTGTTTTTTTTCCGATTATTACTGCTTTATATGTGTAGAGATCAACAAGGAAAGATGGGGAGCTTGAATGAAGATTGAAGTGATAAGCAACATTTTCCTCTCTTAACGATCAGTGAAAGAGCAACATCAAGTTAGTTCTAATGCTTGTCTGAGGCCTTCAGTTCTTTGTTTATCTATGTGTAATCCATCACTCATATTTATTTTGGTTAATTGAATTTTGGAATTTGGGTTTTTTTTTTTCCTTTCTTATCGTTTTTACCCTATAATTAAAAATTTAATTTGAGTAGTACTTGTCCTGCGATTTTTGATAGCTTAGGTAATCTTGAGATGCACTTTAATTTGATAGCTCAATGGTGCTACGGAGTAATTGGTTTAACTAGAATGCTAGAAGCAAGCAATATGAAGTATGAATGACCTTTTTGTTCTTATTATTTTCTTTCTTCCCCATTTGCAGGTAACACAATCTGCACTTGACAAAGCAAACTTAACTGCTAAAGATCTTTCTGCAGTAACAGTTACTATTGGTCCTAGATTAAGTTTTTGCTTGTGTGGTAATCTATTTGGTTGACTATCTGTGTTTCTGGTTTTATTTACAAAATAGAAAAATAGCTCACAGTTCTTATAAATTTGAGCAATGGGCATAGAGACCACGTGTGTTAAGCAAAAGCTTGGGAATATGGTTGAGCAGATTAGGAAAGGAAGTGATGACAAAAATCTGTCTATATAAAATTCTTACTTTTCTTTTTCTTCCAAAACAGCAAATATTGGTTTAAACGTGAAAAAAATTGTGAATCTCCTAAATTACTCTTTGTTTTCTTTGAAAGTCTATAGCAGTTCATCATTAGTTAACCAAACTAAGGAGCCATTTCCAGTGTAACCGATTAAACCAAACTATAAACTATGCATAACCTCTCTCTTTCCTTAATTTCCATTTTTTAGCATCTTTAAAAACCAAACAAGATGTTAGTTACCAGTATAAGTCATCTCTTAATTTGTTTCATAGTTGCTGTGTAGCAGTTTTGTATTATTTTCTTCATATTATATGTCCTAACATTTTTTTTTAATCATTTTACTTTGGAAGAAATAACAAGATTATGTGTTTTGTTTAATCCAGTGTCCGTCTCATATCCATTAAATTTGTTTTGGAAAGTAGTTTAGATATATTTTTCTTCTGTGAACTCTGTAGTAATGCAGCCACACAACTTTTATTGCAGCTGGAAACTATGGAATTCCTGGCAGATTGCATAGATATGTATTTGAAAAAGCAAGTGGTGTGGTTCCTCGTGTCAGGTAAGAATCACAAACCTTGCTGCTTATGATGTGATTATAATCAGTTACTGTTCATAAGCTACACATCAACTATCCTCGTGTCAGTTTAGATATATTTTTCTTCTTCAATTCAATGTTTACAGGTATTTTTGTCCAATTAAGAAGCCTTCTAATTTAGGAATTCCCAACTCTGTAAAAAAGTTGGGCTCGCTCCAAGTTATTTAACTACTTCATGTACCTCCATTCAAGTATACTCTCAATTCTTCATCAAAGCGTCTTCTGAGCTTCATCTCCCCCATCAGACAAGTTTTTGAAATTCTGAGGTAATCTGTCTGTTTTAATCAATCATCAAATTTCAATTTCACAATCTAGGGTTTTTTTTACCTCAACATGCTTTCAATTCGATTTTATTTTTCGTTATTCTGTTTATTTAGGGTTTTAGTGAATTGGGGAAATTATCATATGAAAGAAAATAGGGTTTTAAATAGGATATAGATTTAACCACTTGACAAAATAAGATTATAGAATTAAATTAATCATCTTATCTATAATTAGCATGAGATGATATAGGTACCACTGTTGTCGGTTTTATTTACTAGGTTTAGTTTTTTCATCATTTATTTGATTTTGGCTTTAATTGATGAGCTGATTTGATGCTGATTTTTTTTTTTATTTATCATTAATTTTTTTTTTTTTTTTTTTTTTTTTTTTTTTTTTTTTTATATTTCCATTGATAAGATAGGTTAACATTCAGATTAATTTTGTATCTGAATTGAAGTTTGAGTAGAATTGAATTTTAGCATTGAAAGGTTGTGTTGTATGTCCTAGAATAGTTTTTTTTTTTTTTTTTTTTTTTTTTTTTTTTTTTTTTTTTTTTTTTTTTTAACCAAAAAAATTAATAAAATTTTAAGGTTCTGGTGGAATTCGGTTTAATGGAAGGCTGTTATTTGGGAATTGAGCTATTTGAATCAAGCTAATGGGATTATGTGGAAATTTATGCATGACAAGCTGATGCTTGGTTCTTTTAGTTTTAATTTGATTGCTTGATTTATCAGGAAGTTGAGGGGAACTAAAACCCAGTGTAATTAGAAAATTGACGTGGGTGAAATTAGAGCTTGGGTTCTATAAATTAGGGGTAAGATTATAATATTTGGGCCTCAAGTTTTTTTAAAAAAAAATCTTGAAAATCTGGAGTTTTGGATGGAAATTGCAACAGGATTCCAGAAAATAAATAGGAAGGTAGGAGGGAGAAAGACCAGGGACAACGAAAAACATCAAAAGCTTAATTGAAACTGAAATTTCAGCTCATTAGTATTTTTTTTTGGTGGCTTTAAAGTTCAAAATTTAAGCTTAATTGTTGTTTTGCAGGATCTCGAATTCTTGCAATTCCACCCAACTAGTATCTACGGTCTTGGATGCCTAATCAATGAAGGTTGATTTTACTCATACAATATATCACTGGATGTCTTTTTGGTTATGTGATCTTAATTTATCTTCTGCATTTTCTGTCAGGTTCTTTGCACCAGATGCATAGATGGATACAGTCAAGTCTTATTTGGGAATTGCTACTGCCTCTTATCTTTGATTGTGTAGTTTTTTTTTTTTTTTTTTTTTTTTTTTTTTTTGAAGTGTAATATTACAAGTTATTGAAGAAAATATATGTGTTTTATGTATATTATGATTACATATAAGTATTTGGTACAATTTAAGTGAAAAAAATGCAATTTTTTTTTTATAATTTTGTTTGGGCATTTTCGGCACCAGTTTTGGAAAAGAACCGATGCTAAAAGTTTTTTTTAAAATTTTTTTGGGGACTTTTGACACCGGTTCTAAGTCAAAACCGGTGCCTATTGTATTGAAATAAAAAAAAAAGCGCGCCATACCGGTGCCAAAGAGGGTATTTAGCACCGATTAATCGGTGCCAAATCTTTAAATAGCCACCGGTTTTGAATCGGTGCCAAATCTTCAGAGATTTGGCATCCCTCAAATACTAAACGGTTCAAAACTGGTGCCCATAGGGTGGTTTGAACTGGTGCCTATTTATGTTTTTCGCCTAGTGGAGAACCCTAATATCTATAAAAGATCATGGGTTCGAAAACTGAAAGAAACACAAAAAGTACGTAAAAGAAAGAAAAAAAATAATAAGTATAAAAAGGCTGTATCTTTTTGTTAATTTAGTTAATAATATGTATGCAAAGTTACTACTAAGCAATTATAATAACTAAAATTAAATTTTACGTAAAAGGTGAGTACGTAATATCAACATGCATGAATATGGGCAATTATAGAGCATATACCTCAAAATATTTAGAAGTAGATAGTATTTATTTGTTATAATTTTGAGAAGTAGGTATAAATATACCTGACTAGAAATTGGTGCTGATAACGTGTTAAAAGAATTTACTGACAGAAATGTTTTGATCAGTGAAAGGAGGAGTAAAGAAGAAGTGAAAGAGGATGGGTGAAAATGTCGTAGTTTTACTACTACATCCAGACTTTATTTATAGTAAGATTTTACAATAAAATATCAGACATCATTGTACTTTTGAGTATATAATTGAGAGGTATAATTGATCTAAATACCACATGTGAACTTTCACACACACACACAACACACACACACACAAATGTTTAATTTGTTAATTAAAATAAACTTTATTGCTAAAGTAGTAACGTTGAAACAAAGAAAAAAAATGCTAATATCATAGGATAATTTTAGATAAAAGTATTAATTCAATATTCACTTAGGCCCCGTTCAATTCACCTTATTTTTGCTGATCTGAAATTATTTTTAATGAACTGAAATTATTTTTACTGATTCTCTACTATATTTCTTCTTTACAGTTACTGATTTTTACTAAATTGAAATGATTTTTTACTGAACTGAAATTAATTTTACTGAATTGAACTAATTATTTTTATTGAACTGAAACTATTTTTACTGAATATTATTTATTTAAGGTGAACTGAACAGAGCCTTAATCTTTGTTCAATTTTTTTTTTTCTAATACACAATATAATATATTTTAAAGATATGGTACAATATTCTAGTTGAGTTTATATGGAAAAAAATATGGTTGTCAAAATGCAAAGAATATTTTATATGTTTTTAAACATGTATTAAACTCCCTCGAAAGATAGGGCAAATCTCTCTCGAAAGAAAGACCGAATCTCCGTCTCGAACAAATCGCTCCGTCTCGAACGACTGTCTCTGGCATGATGGCTGATGAGTTGGCTCAGCGATACTCAGCTTTAAGGCTGGAGGAGGATGAAGGGGATTTGATTGACCTGTGTAGTATTGAAGGAAAAGGTTCGAAAGACAATATTGATTTACTGTTAATTGGGCGTCTCTGTACCAATCGTCCGTATAATGTTGAGGCTTTTAAGCGAACGATGCTGAAGGTATGGAACCTATCGAACAATCTTGTGATTAGGGTGCTTAACCCTAATTTATTTGCTTTTCAGTTTTTTCATTGGAGAGACAAGGAAAAAATATTAAGGGGAAGACCATGGTGTTGGGAGAATCATCTGTTAATTTTGGCAGAGATTGTGGGGGATGAACAACCCGATCGTGTGAAACTTAATCTTTCGCCTTTTTGGGTTAGAGTGATGAATCTGCCGTTTAATTGTCGTTCGAATGCTGTTGTGAAAGTAATTGTCTCGAATTTGGGGAGCTTATTGGAAATTGAGGTTGATGCTTTTGGTTTGGAACGTTATAGAAGGGTAAGGGTGATGATAGATGTTGAGAAACCCTTGAGACGTTACCAGTGGATGAAGGATAAAACTGGGAAGGAGGTGAGGGTCGATTTTAAATACGAAAGACTGCCATACCTGTGTTTTTCTTGTGGAATTATCGGTCACTCCGAGAAAGATTGTGTTAATGTGCCTGATGAAGAGAAGTTGCAAAAGTTGGGATGGGGTCTATTCTTACGTGCGTCCCCAAGGAAAGGTATATCGAAGAAGGTAGAGGAGGAAACCATAATTTTAGCTAGTAAAAAGCAATTGTTCATTACTAAGGATAATGATCCTTCTCTTAAGGGTGATATAGCAGGTGAGGAGGACTTGGGAAGGAAGGTTGTTAAGCGGCCTGGTGAGGAGGGGGAGGATCGTGAAAAAGGAAAGATTGATGAGAATGTGCAGGGTAACCAGCTATGCTCGATCACACGTATGAACACAACTACTATGAAGGCTCCTATTAAAGAGACTGGAATCGAAGGGCAACATAATAGTCTGGATGATTTGCCTTACAAGTCTTTTGCGATGGGTCTGACTAGCCCAAAGAAAAAAGGAAGGAAGGTTGTTAAAGTTGGAAGATCACAGGGGAAGGGGACTGCAGATATGGAGACTAATGAGTGAAGAAATGGTGTACTCGGGGAAAAGAAAGGCAGGGGGTCAGAATTTAGAGGATTTCGTGGAGCTGGAGGGGTGTTCTTTAAAGAGGGGTAGGAGCTCTCTGGGTGACGATGTGATGGCTGTTGACAGTTAAGTAGCGGTGGTTGGCGAAGACCAACCCCGCGAAGAACAATGAAAACTGTATGTTGGAACTGTTATGGGCTTGGCAACCTATCAACAGTTAAAGCTCTCCAAGACTGGTGTTGGAGAGATATGCCAAATATTGTTTTCGTAATGGAAACAAAAATTGACTCTCGTCGTCTTGAGTTGATTCGTAATCGGTGTGGTTTTGTGAATGGAGTGTGTTTGAGTAGTTCTGGAAGGTCGGGGGGAATGGGCCTTTGGTGGAGGGATTTGAATGCGGTCGTTGCCTCATATTCTAATCACCATATTGAGGCGGATGTTTGTGATGAAAATGGTTCTCCAATATGGAAATTCGTTGGTATTTATGGCTGGCCTGAAATGGTTAATAAACATCGTACTTGGGATCATATACGTGGGATTCATGCTGGGTGCTCAATTCCGGTGCTGTTTGCCTGTTTGGCGGAGATTTCAATGAAATATTGGAATTACAGGAGAAGCATGGAGGGGCGCCACGCGCAGAGAGGTGTATGGATGCGTTCCATGATGTTCTTGACACTTGTGGCCTGCGTGATCTTGGTTTCAAGGGTAATCGTTTCACATGGGAACGAGGATCTTCTATGGACACTTTGGTTCGAGAGAGCCTTGATAGATATGTGGCATCGGATGGATGGTGTGCTTTATTTCCCTGGATTGAGGTTATTAATTTTCCTATTTGCCACTCAGATCATGCACTAATTTTGTTGAAAACTAGCCAGGAAAATAATGGAGATAGAAGAGGGAAAGCGTTCCGATTTGAAGCTCTTTGGCTTTCGAATGAGGAGTGTAGTAAGGTGGTATCGGATGCGTGGGTGTGTGGGATGACTGATCATATTCACAAGCGAATTGCACGTGTTGGAGAGGACTTAGTTTTCTGGGCAAGGCGCAAATTTGGGAATACAAAAAAGAAAATAAAGAAAGCTGAGAAGAAGCTTCAAGAGCAGCAAGGGGGCTGGTTTGATGCACACAGGCTAAGCGCTGTAACAATATTAAATGTGAGATTGATGAATTGCGAAGACTGGAGGAATCATACTGGTACATGAGGGCAAGATCGAGTGAACTTCGGGATGGTGATAAAAATACAAAGTATTTTCATCACAAAGCAAATCAGAGAAGGGCCAAGAACCGTATTGTAGGGCTGTTTGATGATGGTGGGGTATGGAGAAGTTCGGTGACGGAGGTGGATGGGATAATAGGGGACTACTTTGGGTCTCTCTTTAGTTCTGACTGTCCGAGCAATATGGAGGAAGCTACGGCTGGTATTAATAGGTTGGTAACAGATGAGATGCGAGTGAAGCTGGAGGAGGAACCAACTGGGGACGAAATAAGAGAGGCCCTTTTTCAAATGCACCCAAACAAGGCGCCGGGACCGGATGGTATGCATGCTCTATTTTTTCAGAAATTTTGGGGCATAGTGGGTAGGGATGTGATTAATTTTGTAAAGGGCTGGTGGAGAGGGGAAGTCGAGCTAAGACTTATCACGGATAATGCCCTAATAGCTTTTGAGGTATTCCATGCTATGAAGAGAAGAGGGGAAGGGAAGGTGGGGTCGGTGGCTTTGAAACTAGACATGAGTAAAGCATACGACAGGGTGGAATGGTGTTTCATTGAGCGTGTCATGCACAAAATGGGATTCCCGCAGTCGTAGATTAATCGCATTATGCAATGTCTGGCTAGTGTCTCCTTTTCCTTTAAATACAATGGAGGTATTTCAGGCTCGGTGGTTCCATCTCGAGGTTTAAGACAAGGTGATCCAATCTCCCCTTATCTATTTTTGATTTGTGCCGAAGCTTTTTCTATGTCACTCACTAAAGCGGCCGATGAGAAATTAATCCATGGTGCACGTGTCTGTAGAGGAGCTCCACGGATTTCTCACCTTTTCTTTGTAGATGATAGTTTGTTATTTGCGAAAGCTACATTGAATGAATGCTCTAAGATAGCTGATATTATCAGAGTGTACGAGGGAGCATCGGGTCAAAGGGTGAATCTCAGTAAAACTGAGGTAGTTTTCAGTAAATGTGTATCTGCTGAAAGGAGAAAAGAAATCATTGATACGCTAGGGGTTAGGGAGGTGGAAAAACATGAAAAATACCTCGGTTTACCAACGATTATTGGTAAATAAAAAAAGGCTATTTTTGCGGGCTTAAAAGAGAGAATCTGGAAAAAGCTACAAGGGTGGAAGGAAAAACTGTTATCTCGATCGGGCAAAGAAGTACTCTTGAAAGCCGTAGCTCAAGCGATCCCTACCTATATGATGAGCATTTTTAGAATCCCGGATGGCCTGATTGATGAAATTCATTCCATTATGGCTAAGTTTTGGTGGGGTTCAAAAGGGAGGGAGAGGAAGATGCATTGGCGAAAATGGGAGGCCCTTTGCTTACCGAAGTGTATGGGTGGAATGAGCTTTAGGGATATGCGGGTGTTCAACCAAGCTCTGCTAGCAAAGCAAGGATGGAGGTTGTGCAACAATGTGGACTCCTTACTTTATAGAATTCTTAAAGCTAGATACTTTAAGAATTCTGATTTCTTGGAGGCTAATAGGGGGTATGATCCGAGCTATAGTTGGCGAAGTATTTGGGGCGCTAAGGCACTCCTTGATGGCTTGAAGTGGAGAGTGGGGAATGGTGTCTCTATCAATGTGTGGAAGGACGCATGGATGGTTGGGCAGGGATCGCATCTTGTGCCTACCCCAAAACCGAATAGCAATCCAGACCTTCGAGTAGACCAATTGATTGACTATGACAATGGGTGCTGGAATATTGACATGTTGAATGAGACTTTTGAGGAGGAAGATAAACAAGCTATCCTGAACATACCGTTATCCCGTGATGCACCTAGAGATTGCCTATATTGGTGGCCTAACCCGGATGGATGTTACTCCGTACGTAGTGGATACTGGCTGGGAAGACTTGGAGTATTGAGATCATGGGAAGTCATTTATGGTACTACAGAGCAAGAGGTTTGGAAGGTGATATGGAACCTAAAAGGACCTCCAAAATTAAGCCACTTTTTGTGGCGTGTGTGCAAGGGGCAGTTAGCAGTTGGAGCTGTTCTGTTTAGACGCCATATTGGAGAATCAAGTAGATGTAAGGTGTGTGGGCATAGTGCTGAAACGGTGGTGCACTCATTGTTTGAATGCAAGTATGCTAGAGAGGTGTGGGGTTATAGTGACTTTGGAGATCTACTCATTGAATGTGTTGAATCAAATTTTCCTGACTTACTATGTTGGATGGCGAAGAAAATGAGCAAAGAGCATTTACGTGTCTTCACAACCCTATGTTGGGCTGCATGGCACTGCCGAAACAAGCACGTATTTGAAGGAGAAAGAGGAGTTAAAGCTGTCGAGATAGCTATGGGCTTCGTCAGGCTCTCTTCTGATTATGAGTTGTATAACTCGAAGCTAAAAGGGGGAGGGGGAGGGGTGAGAACAGCAGGCTCTGCTAGCTCATGGGCTACACCCCCTGTTAGAGTTGTGAAGCTAAATGTTGATACACATATCAAAGAGGGGATAGGTGTCCAATTTGGGGCTGTGATTCGTGATGATAATGGGGCCTTAATAGCTGCTGCAGTTAAGCGCTGTGATGTTTGGTGGTCACCTGATATGGCGGAGGTTGGTGCAATGCAATATGGAGTGGAGCTGGCACGAAGGTTGGGATTTGATAAAGTTATGTTGGAGAGTGATGCCCTGGTAGCTGTTCGTGCAATACAGAGAAGGCAAGTTGGTGTTACTCCTATTTTTCTGCTTTATGATGATATTCTGAAATTGAGCAGTGAATTTTCGTTTTTCTCTTGCACTCATGTGAAACGAACAGGAAATACGGTAGCCCATATGGTAGCTAGATGGGATACGAGTACCTCCTCGGAAAGGGTTTGTATGAGTTCTTTTCCCCAAAGCTTACAAACTTTGGTGGATCTTGATTTAATATAGTTGAGCTCTTTACTTGTTTAAAAAAAAAATATTATATGTTTTAAATTGATTTCTTGAAATGTTGAAAAAAAAAAAAATTGGTCATAATTTTAGATATTTTCTATTATATAAAAGCATTATTTTTTTTACTACTTCCCTTTTTTTTTTCTTTTTTTTTTTTTTGTATGAAAAATATGGTGGTCAAATAGGAAGGCTATATTATAATAATATGGTAAATATTTCATCATAAAAATATATGTTATAATTTGAAGAAGATTTGACTGATAGAAAAAAAAGAAAAAAGAGGTGGTTTTGGAGGGTATAAACAGCACCAGAAAATGACACATGTTATTCCTGTTGTTTATTTTAATATTATGTTATTGATGTACTAGCTTCTTCAAAATAAATTTTTTAATTTGAAAAATCTTTGTCAACCCTCACTTAACAAATACTGACATTAGAGGTTTAATTTAGTCAAACGTTATCTTACCTAAAAGATCTCTTGTTGCCCAAAATAACCTTGTAGTCAATCCTCGCTCTAACCCAAGAGAAAGTTGTTTTTAGCAAACCCACAACCCATGCTTCTACATATGCGAGCATTGAACACAAATTCTTAATTAAGGTGGACTTTTATTAAATTATTGTAAGACGATTTAAAGTTACCCTAAAAATATTCCAAGTTACCCTTATATATTACAAAAGTTATCATTTTCCTTAAACCATCTTACAATAAAATTAACGTAAGTGAGTCTTGTACAAGACTTATTGTGTATAAATTAGTGTGAGGTACGAAATCGTTAGGGACAATGTAAATCAAAGTTGACATGAAAAAAGCTTCTCCCTCTTCATGGTAAATGTGCACTTGTGTACATGTAATAAAATCTTGTGTACAATTGTACAAGCACTTGTGTACATGGTAAATGTGTTGACATCAAAACTTTAAACTGGAATATGCTAAAAGAATTATGACATCAAAACTTTAAACTGGAATATGCTAAAAGAATTATGTGGATACAATTTGATCTCAAATTTTAAATAACACTCGGCTTAATTATAAGAATAATCCCGTACAAAAAAAAAGAATATTCCCTTTAATTCTTTTTATTTTTTATTTTAGAATCTTGACTCGCTCCTATGTTAATAAATTTCATTTTGAATCTTAAATGATCCAACTCAACCAATAGTTTAACATTTAACTATTAAATTTTATGCAACAATGATCTTGAAACAAACTCTTGGGCAAATTTGGTTTATGTGTGTTAATGGAATGAAAAAGATAAAAATACATGTGATGATGAGAGAGATAGAGAAAATGACAAAAAATAAAAAATAAAAAAAATAAAAAACATTTGTTGCACATATGTGGAACAACCATTCTAATAAAAATTGTACATAATATGAAAAGAAAGTTAGTATTTTAATATTAATAAGCAACTATTAATATACTTCCTCCGTTCCAACAAAATTGCAACAAGGATGAAATTACGCATACCAAAGCATATTTTATAGGTTAAATATCTATAATTATTGCTGAAGATGACAACAAGTTCCAACAAGTTCCAGAAGAACATGGACTACGGGTTCCAACAAGGAGCTGGAAGATGTAACAACAGATTATCATTAGAGTATAGTCTGTGGTTTCATTATTGGAACAAAGCCTCAGATCCAATGCTCAATGCAGAGTTCGAGAATTCAATAATGAAGTTATCCTTGAAGACTATATAGAGATTAAAGTTAAGTGATTACTTTAGCATGCATTGATGTAAACATAAGATTGATTGTTTTAATATGAAACTTATTAAAAACGTGATAAAGCTTCACATTTGGTAAAATTGGTGGAGTTAAATAAGATAATTAAATTTGGTTTTTTTTGGAAAAAAATTAAGTAAGGATCTAGCTTAGTTGAATAAAATCTGTTTTATAATATTTATCTTTTGCAAACTTATGTTTCTAAACGGTTTTATAGAAGATTTTTTTTCTTTTAAAAGATTAACTTGCTCGGCATGGTCAAAATGACGAATATGAGTTATACGAATAGTTTTTGGTATCTATCATTTTGTTTCTAAACCCTACTTTGAAGTAAAGAGTTTATATTATAAATATGAGCCTTTTGTTTCATAGAAAAGTGTGACTTTTATACGTAAAAACCTTACAAGTAAGTTTGCCAAATGAAGCTTTATCATATTAGTTTAGTTTCATATTACAAGTGTTGCTTTTGAATCCTATATTAGTGTTTAAATCATTGTTTTGTAATTGGTTTTTGGGGCGTGAGAATTCAAGATGATTCATTTTGTTACCTTAAGTTACAGTATGCTAGGAGAGCTTCTAGTTGTCTTCCCACCCCCTAACCTTTAGTTGGATACCGCCTTATTTAAAAACTAAAGCTTTGCGCCCTAAACGAAAGACTGTGTGAAGCTAGGAGAGCAAAACTCTGGGTGTAATCTGGGATTCAAATTAGTTAGGATAGATAGGTTAAGGTCCGATTGTAATAGGTTGTAACTATGAGTGTTTTGGCCTATTGTAATGAAAATATTGGTTAAGAAAATCCTTAAAGGGTCGAGGTTTTATTTCCAGTTAAGGTCATGAGAGGTTTTATTTCCAGTTAAGGTCATGAAAGGTTTCCTCGTAAATTTCATTGTACTCTTTAAATATTCTTTTAGTTTCTGTTTCTGTTTTATTCCGCAAAAATTGTCTTTATGGAAACTCACTTAATTCACCACCCATCTTGTAGTAGTTCGTCTCCTTTATTACACATGTAAAGCAAAATAGTTACGTTTCGATGAACATATAATATTTAGGTCCCTGCAATGCTAATTATCATGGCAAATAGAGAGAGGAAAAAAAAAGTATTGATGATTTTAATTAAATAGAGAGTATGTAAAGTAGTATTTATTGGTAAACAAATTCTACATACTAAGTACTATATAATATGAACAAGAAGTTCTTGCCAATTTGAATAAAGCATACATTATCAACTACAAGTCTACAACAACAAGTCTAAAGGCAAAAACTATGGCAAGAAAGGAAACCAACGGTCAATAACCTATAATAATTAACCAAAGAAAGGTTTATGTATATTTCAAAGATTTCATTTGTCGCCAACATATTCTTCAAAAAAATTGTAAATCCTTACCTATAATGGCTATAAACAATGATATTCTTTGATTATTTTTAAAATCATATTCTTTAGTCATAGTTTTCTTATCATGTTAGAAAAATTGGCTTAAGAATTCTCTAAGAGCTCATAGTGACCATACCCATGAAACAAAATATTTATAGGGTACTTATCATTATATTCATCCCCATAATTTGCTATGTTTGTCAATTTGTTTGTCTTCTGATCTTTCATAAAGACAGATATCAGCTTCCTGATACAAATAAAACATCAATTGTTACCATAAACACCATATTTAAGAATTTGAAGTTAGATAAAACGAGAGATTGTTATACAAACTAACCTTGAGTTAGTTGGATGCAGTGGATCCGGATGTTTATAAAAATATTTACACAAAAGCGACACGCTACCAATGCGAAATAACAGAAGTTATGAAATACTCACTTGAGCACATGAGATGCCATTCGTACTTCTGGTTCTCCGCCCCAAACATAAGGTTTTTGAATCCTCTCAACATACACATCAAAGTCTTCATCAATGAACCTATAAAAGAGTTTAGGATTACACACATGGATGCACTTCAAAGAAAATTCTTTTTGCAACAACAAAGAAACATACCCTTCCATTTCTTTGCGCCTCTTTAAAAGCTCTTCGACCACCTATATAGAAAACAAAAGAAATAGATTGAAAATCCAAAATTTGTTCTAAAAATTAATTACTCCGTACCTTTTATTTCATGAAATCACTTTACTATATAGTGTTTAAAACAACCCACCTGAGCCCTCAAATCATCAGCAAGCTCTCTCTTTCGGTCTTCATCAGGCACTTCCTCTCCGTTTTGTAAGCAAGCTCCGTGAGCTATTGCTCTAAACAAACATCGGCCATCTGATTGTACACCTTTGATCATTGGAAGAACAATATTTTGTTTAATTAGTTTCATGTGTTCTTAAAACTAAGCAATAAAACCCAAATGCAATATATTAGATTATCGATGATGCTAAATAATGTAAGTAACTGAAACTGTAAAGCTCATCTTGTATAGGAAGTGAATCACATTCATAATTTCACTATGAAAATAAAAAGTCAATGTTTGAAATTTGACTTTTTTGCTACTCCCTCCGTTCCATAATATAGTTTATGTTTGTGTTTTTTCACGGTATTTAAAAAATAGGAAGAGAAAGTATATGATGTACATTAATAAAAGTGAAAAGTACAATAGCCAAAAATTAGAGAGAGAGGAAATGGAAAAAAGTGCTCCCTCCGTTTTATAATGTTAGTCCCATATACTATTTTGGGCGTTCAAAAGATATATCCATATTGAATATGTTTCATTTTTAATTTAATTTTTTTGGAATTAATTGGTTGCGAATTGATAACATGACTCTAATTGAAGAAATCTCTACCTTGAATTATGCAATTATGACTTACGCTTTAAAAAAAAAAAAATCAAAAAAATTAAATAAGGTAAACTAATTATGAATTATTTTGTACGATTTCATATGGGATTAACATTATGAAACACGGAGGGAGTACATAGTATGTGCAAAATTCAAGGGTAATTTAGGAATTACAATGAATAAAGTTAAAAAAGTGAGTTTATAATAATCTTTACATACAATCCTAAAATAGAAATAGAATATTTTAGATCTCTAAAGTAGGAAAACAAGAACTATATTATGGAACGGATGGAGTAAAAAATAGGGTCAATGTCTCCTGAAACTTTGACTTTTTTCCGGAAAATAGAGTCAATAAAACTCTTCTAAGTTAGTCTAGTGAATTATTTTCCAAAACACAGGAATTATATTTCATGGGCAATAAACTAAATTACAGGGCAAGCAAATCTGTATAAAATTTCGGATAATCCACAACCACATGTTCCAATTTTGTTAAAAGATTATGGCACTAGATACTCAGATTGGTCCACTATTTTGTAACAAGATAGTCTGACTTGTGTACTGAGCAAATAATCAAGAGAAGATTAAAAAGTATAGAAAATGACTAAATTCAAGAAAAATATATAATTGAATATAATCAATTGAAGATTATGATTAAATATTGCCACTTAGATATATAAATGAAGGTCAACAAAAAATAAAAAATACCCGTAACCCGAAAATCCAATAAATCAGGAGAACCCTGTTCGCTAACAATGGTCTCCGTCTCATTGACAATGCCAATGGTCTCCGTCTCATCCACAACAACATCGTTGAAAGAAAGGTAAACACAAACTCCATAGAGAAGATAAGCGAGGTCGAGGCGATGAAGCCAACGAGCAGGTCTAGCATCACAAGCGACATTCCACGAGCCCTCGCCTCGTTGTTGGTGGATTGCAGGGCGGAGGTAATCCCTCCGCCAATCACCACTGGCAACAGCAGCTGGAACATTTATCCGCCAAATGGAGACCGAAGAGGCTCCATCGGCGACATTATTGGTAGGTTGAGAATGAAATTGATGGTGGTGGTGGTGGAGGGAGAAGGTTTGAGGGGAAATGTTCCAAGGCTTTAACGGGCGTGCGCAGAGTAATCCAAGCATCACCGTGGAGATTTTTTTTTTTTGGGTTTTGGTTGTTTGGTGTGGTTGGTGGTTTGTGTTTGGGGTTTAGGAGGGTTTATAGGTGATTTTGGATGGGTATTTTTGTAATTTATAGTATTATTGTAATTGGTAATAATCTGCTTCTTTCATTTTTTGTTCTCATGTTCTACCATCTTTGGTACTGGGGATTTCTTGAGATTGAGATCTCTTTTGATATTATATTATCCCAAATGATCTAGTTTATTTTTAGTTCTCTATTTAATTGGCCATGTATCTTTAAGACTTTAATTATCAACAAATACACTTTTAATTTTTTTTTTTAATTGTGATACACGGTGTTTTATCTGGGTTAGTTTGAATTTGCTATAATAATACGTAATTGCGGTTTGTTTTATTAAAAAAAAAAAAAAAAAAACACAAAATGTAAGTGCGGTTTGTTACTAATTTTTTTTTACTAATTTGCTATAATTTGACTTTTGTTTTTAGTAATTTAATGTTATAGTCATTGAAAACCGAAGGTATTATAGGTTTAGTATTTCTCCTTCATTCGATCCACCATTTTAAAACTATGTGTCAATCAAGCCGATGTATTTAAAAGAAAAAATAAAGCCAAAGAATTAGCAGGGATTACAAGATAAAGTTGGTAGAAAGTTTCTATTTTGGTATAAATGACCGTTTTAGTATAATATCACTTAAAATATCTGATAAGGTTAGTTATAAAGTTCCTCCTTATTCTTTTAATATTGTAACGTTTGCACTCTAAGAACTATCCACACACTACTCTTTGAACATGAAGGAAAAATTTAATCATATAAAACATTGTTAGATTTGTCTTGTTATTTAGGGTTTAATTTTACTTTGTTACGTGTAAGGTGGCACCAACAAATTAGGGCCAACCAGAAAAATGTCTTCTACCCAGTTAAGCTGCTTCTAGTACTCTGTGAAGTACTCTAGGATTAGTGTATGTTTTTGCCAATGTGAAAAATAAAATTAAATAAATGAATAAGGAAAAATTTATGGGAATAATCCCATCTTTGAGCCGTTCGTTTTTAATAATCCTATTTTTTAATAATCCCAACTTTACACCCCGATCTTTTTTAATGGTCCCATTTTACCTGACACCGGTTGAGTAGGTAATTTTTTTTTTTTTTTTTTAAAGTTTAATTTACATGTGTCGTTTCTTAGTAAAAAAAAAAAAAAAAAAAAAAAAAAAAACCAGCCACCCCTACCATTACCACCACCCCAAACCCCCATCTGCAACCCAGCCCCATCCCCACCATAACCACCACCCTAAACCCCCCACCTCGAACGCAATCACCACGAATCCCCAACCCCCTTCGCGAATTCACCCACCTCGAACCTAGCCATCTCGAAACACCACCATAACAATGGTGTTGATGGTGATGGTGAGGTGAATGTGATGGTGCTGGCCGAAAATAATCCCACTGGCCACCCTAACCCAGCCCGTCACCGTCAACAACCGCTCACCAGAAACAACCCTAACCCAACCCCTTACCATCAACAACCGCTCACAACATCAATCGAAATTCGTACCCCCACAAATCGCAACAACAAGCATAAATTCAGCCTAATTCAAAATTGGCAGCCCCATATAATCGACGGCCCCACATAATCGGATGGCCTGTGGTGTTTTCGGCGAAGAGGGAGTGGGGGTTGCGATGGTTTCGGGGGAAGAGAAGGTTGAAAATGGTTGCTTTGAGGGGAGTGGGGTTGTAGTGTTTTCGGTGAAGGGGGAGTGGGGTTGTGGTGTTTCAGGTGAAGGGGGAGTGAGGTTGCGGTGGTTTCATATGAAGGGGGTGGGGCTGTGTTGGTTGTTCGGTGGTTTTCGGTCGGATAGGGAAAGGAGATGGTGTTTCCGGCTCGGAAGGGTGGTGGCTTGGGCTGTTGGGTGGTTTTGTAATTAAATTTTTTTTTCTTTAAATAAATTTAACTTTTTTTTAAAATTTATTTTTGACCAATCACAAACCGCCACGTGTCTTGTAACCTGTTATAACAGGTTACATGACCGGTTGGGACCATTAAAAAAGATCGGGGGTACATGTGGGATTATTAAAAACGAACGGCCCAAAGATGGGATTATTCCCATGAATTTTTCCAATGAATAAAGGGCTTGTAAATTAAGCCAAATTACCATAATAAATCGAATATCTTGTCTGCTGGATCAGCCTTCACAATGCATGAAAATTAATGTCCATCCCATAGTTTATGTAGAAGAAAGGAAGCATTCTTAATAAAAGGGGAGAATGTAAAAGGTTTGTACAGGTTTTGCAACATTTCGACAACCCGAATAGTGTACAACAAAACAAAGAGTCATTAGCCCCGTGTAAGGCATGGCGGATTCAAGGGATTCACAATTTCCATCTATGCACATATCTATACATTTTTGCTATGTACATCATTGTTACTTCTACATCCTATTTGTCAATCGGAGCTATAAACTGAACACACTCAGCACAATGATGAAAAACGATGGCACCTAAACTTTAACTAGAATTGCTACTCTCGAACAGGGGAACTAATGAAATTGCCACTGATGCTTTGCTAAGAGCATACATGCTACATGGTCATAGACAGACGTGATATCCAAATACAGCACTGTCACTGAGCCGAACTTGAGGACATCAAACATCAGAAGGTGCTCGCTAATGACAGGTCTTTGCAGTGCTTGGCAATCGTCAATCCTCCCATAAGCTTGAACTGAATCAACAGAGAAGATATGTACAAAGCTATAGCCCATAAGAGGAGAAAAACCAGCTTCAAAGACTCCAAAAAAAATTAAGCAATGTACTTGGTTGGCAACACTTTCACATTGATAACATGGAAGCCCCAAAGGATGCTGGAGAATTAGACCAACAGCTATGCAAATGATGGGCTCTCCATATGCTTGCCGGTGGAATCTTTTACAATACCATTTTCTTCAGGTAACTGCGTGTTACCTCTTGTTTCGATTCCAATATGAGACAGTAGCTGGTCCTCTTGAATAGGATCTGTTCTATGAATTTCAGGAGTCGTTGATAAATATCTACAATGACGTGGGCTTATAGCTTGGAAACTAGTGTCAAGATGAGATCTAGAACTTGACATTAACTGCATGGATCGTTTCTTCTCACTAGTCTCACGCAATGAAATCCGGCAAACTGGGCAGGTGCAATGTTGTAGCAGCCATATATCTATGCACTTTATATGGAAGTAATGGCCACAGTAAGGGAGTATACGCAATACATCTTCTTTGTGATATTCAGCCAAGCAAATCGAACACCTACAAGTACAAGTAGTCAAGTCAGTTCCATAGACAAGTGAGGTAAAGATATTAGATAAACATCCACCACATAGTCTAGTAAGAATCAAAATCAATCAGATCAGAGCAGAATACAAGAATGAAGGAAAATTCAATGATGAACGAAACATGTTCCGTAGATAGTCAATACAATTTCTAATATGAAACATATTTGAAAGCCGCGTAAGAACACACGTTTAGCAATTTAAGATATATGACACCGTGATGACAATATCTAACATCTTCCCCCACATAAATCTAACAAGGGTTTGCCCCAGTTTAGGTTAGAAGAAGGTCAATGTGTTATGCAGGTAAAATAGACATAAACAATTACATTAAATAGTGAATCTCTAATTTCAACGTTTGAAATGGATGCATCTATTATTTAATTTCAAACAAGAGTTTGATGGAAGCCCTATAATATTTTAGGCCAAGGTCATCATATTTCGTCCACACATTCACAGTAATGATCTTCTCTGAAACAAACAGTATTCCCATCTCCTCCTCCAGTCATACTAAAGGAACTAAAACTTCCACCATTGCATTCTCCAGATTCTTCATTAGTTCCTCTTTTCTGTTTATTAGCAATCAGTTTCTTTCAGCTTTAATAATCATTAGTTCCTCTCTCTCCACACACACACACACACACACACAGCTATTCTAAAGAAAACAAGATAAACCTTCGGAGACATTTTCAGTAGACTATGAATCAGTGATTTATTAATATACTCCCCTGGTAACATTGATCCCTCAATAGGACATTAGAGTTGTATAGCTACTTCATTTATTCTTATAGCTTATAACAATTACTTCATAAAATTCAATTGAATTTCAGAAGTTTCAGAAAACAATATTTTCCAATATATACCTGGAAGAATCAGTCACCACTTATATATAAAGTCCGGCAAATATAATGTGGTGTTTTAGCCTTATGCAAGAGATCAGGTCCTCGGTGGTGACGTCATATGCACGCAAGGCCACGGCAATTGCTACTCTAGTAATTAGATGGTTGCTTTATTAAATACATTTAAATAATATCTATTTAGTTAATTAGTTCATAATTCAATAATTCTGTTATTAAGGGAATCTAAGTTTGTTAGAGGGAAGAGTGTAGAATGGAAGCTTGTAGAAGCTCTAAATAATATAAATATAGGTGCATGGGTATAGAGGAAGATATCCAGAAATTGTATTAAGGAGCTTAGGCTTGTTTTGGGAGATTATCCTTCTTCTCGAATTGAAGGAAACCACCATTGTCGAGCTGCTTAATAGCTAGCCTAACAAATATCACTAATTTAGTTCCTAGCACCTTAAGAGTTGCTCAAAGAAAAACTAATTTTGAAGTCATTACTAAGACAATCATTTATGAAATTGGGGGACAGATGAACAATTGTCAACAGCCTACTAGGCTACTACATTTCAGAGGTATAGAAACGAACTTAATAAATAAAAAAGTCAACATATCCTAGTAACTGCTTGATTCATTATTTGAAGTTAATATGGGATTTATGGGAAGCTCCATGGCACCCAATACTCTCAAAAAGTAAGTTATCACCATATCAAGTAGGAAAAGTATTGGGTGAGTTGGACGCGGTATACTATAGACAACATGTGCGATTATAAAATGTTCTACAAAAACAGAATTTGAAAGAAAGAAAAACAAAATAGGAAAACCGGCAGACAAATTATTCTTTGGTAAAAGGTGTAAGATGGTAAAGGGGGTAATGCTTAAAATAAAATAAAGCACAGTGGGTAGTGGGAAAAAAAAAAAAAAAAAAAAAAAAAAAACTAAACGAATAGAGGGAATACTTAATAAATGACATCAAATGTCAAAATATTTTTATACAACGTAATTATACAATTTTTTAAAAATGACATTAGATTCTCAAAAGATGATATCAAACATCTAAAAACTAATAAAAAAGAACATCAAAAACTGATACTAAACCCTCAAAAAATGACATAAAAATTCCAGCATTTTAAGTGGTTCATTTGTTGAAGCTATGCTTTTAATTAGTTGTAATTAGTGGTTTGTTAGCTTCCTAAAATTTAGAGTCATTAGTCAAGTTCGTTTTTATTTAATCATTAGCATGTTATTCAATTAATTAGAAGTGGATTGAAGTGGTGGGACACTAACATAGCCACTTACTTCATGTTTCTAGCATTAGTTACTTACTTTCAGGATGATTTGGTTATGTTGAAAGCTTAAATAATAAGTTGTTTCCTTGTCTTTTCATATGAATAATAATGCAGTGATATTTTACTTTATAAATTATAGCCTTTTGCTTTCTTATTCCTAAAAATATTGCATCAAGAAGCATTCAGTCTTGTGAGCTGTGAGCATTTGAAGGGAAAAAAAAAAAAAAAAAAAACATTATCTTCCATCTTTTATCCAATGGCATCAAACAACTTTTAATTTCCATTCCCATATTCAAATGACAGAACTATCATTCATGGGCTATCAAAATGAAAT